ATTAACGAATAATTATTATTAAAAAAACTCATTAGTAATTCATGAAGAAAATTTTAAAAAAATGAAAGTTTAATCAATATATGTAAATTGATTATTGAATAAAGATTTCATTCTGGTTTGCATAAACTTTAACTTCAGTTTTCTGCAGGCCGGGCCAAAACGAACCATATCGCCAAAATAATGAGTAAACTTGATTACAATTATAGATCCGTTCGTATTTGCCTGCATGTAATACTAAAGCATTGATTTGTATCTGATCTGTATTTATACGGCTCTCCTTGCATGTAAATCACATACTGTACAGATCAGCTGCTTATATTCTTATATATTACATATATAACTTTAATCCAACTATTCAGGTATATGTATATACTAGTTTCATATTAATCTGACACTGCAATCGAGCAACGAAAAATTCGTTGGCTCGAGCGGGATTTGAACTCGCATCTTCGGGTATCTAGACCGCCGCTCTACCTATTGAGCTATCGAGTCAACAGGGATTGGTAGCGAGTCTTATCCAATTTAAGTGCACGAAATATTTTCGTGACGACTTAACGCTTGTCTTTGAGGACACGCAGTGTTTCAATTCTATTTCAGAACCATCCTCAGAGATAGGAAAACTAGTTTCATATTAATCTGACACTGCAATCGAGCAACGAAAAATTCGTTGGCTCGAGCGGGATTTGAACTCGCATCTTCGGGTATCTAGACCGCCGCTCTACCTATTGAGCTATCGAGTCAACAGGGATTGGTAGCGAGTCTTATCCAATTTAAGTGCACGAAATATTCTCAAAGACAAGCGTTAAGTCGTCACGAAAATATTTCGTGCACTTAAATTGGATAAGACTCGCTACCAATCCCTGTTGACTCGATAGCTCAATAGGTAGAGCGGCGGTCTAGATACCCGAAGATGCGAGTTCAAATCCCGCTCGAGCCAACGAATTTTTCGTTGCTCGATTGCAGTGTCAGATTAATATAAAACTAGTTTTCCTATCTCTGAGGATGGTTCTGAAATAGAATTGAAACACTGCGCGTCCTCAAAGACAAGCGTTAAGTCGTCACGAAAATATTTCGTGCACTTAAATTGGATAAGACTCGCTACCAATCCCTGTTGACTTGATAGCTCAATAGGTAGAGCGGCGGTCTCGATACCCGAAGATGCGAGTTCAAATCCCGCTCGAGCCAACGAATTTTTCGTTGCTCGATTGCAGTGTCAGATTAATATGAAACTAGTTTTCCTATCTCTGAGGATGGTTCTGAAATAGAATTGAAACACTGCGCGTCCTCAAAGACAAGCGTTAAGTCGTCACGAAAATATTTCGTGCACTTAAATTGGATAAGACTCGCTACCAATCCCTGTTGACTCGATAGCTCAATAGGTAGAGCGGCGGTCTAGATACCCGAAGATGCGAGTTCAAATCCCGCTCGAGCCAACGAATTTTTCGTTGCTCGATTGCAGTGTCAGATTAATATGAAACTAGTTTTTGGTATCTCTGAGGATGGTTCTGAAATAGAATTGAAACACTGCGCGTCCTCTAAGACAAGCGTTAAGTCGTCACGAAAATATTTCGTGCACTTAAATTGGATAAGACTCGCTACCAATCCCTGTTGACTCGATAGCTCAATAGGTAGAGCGGCGGTCTAGATACCCGAAGATGCGAGTTCAAATCCCGCTCGAGCCAACGAATTTTTCGTTGCTCGATTGCAGTGTCAGATTAATATGAAACTAGTTTTCCTATCTCTGAGGATGGTTCTGAAATAGAATTGAAACACTGCGCGTCCTCCAAGACAAGCGTTAAGTCGTCACGAAAATATTTCGTGCACTTAAATTGGATAAGACTCGCTACCAATCCCTGTTGACTCGATAGCTCAATAGGTAGAGCGGCGGTCTAGATACCCGAAGATGCGAGTTCAAATCCCGCTCGAGCCAACGAATTTTTCGTTGCTCGATTGCAGTGTCAGATTAATATGAAACTAGTTTTCCTATCTCTGAGGATGGTTCTGAAATAGAATTGAAACACTGCGCGTCCTCAAAGACAAGCGTTAAGTCGTCACGAAAATATTTCGTGCACTTAAATTGGATAATACTCGCTACCAATCCCTGTTGACTCGATAGCTCAATAGGTAGAGCGGCGGTCTAGATACCCGAAGATGCGAGTTCAAATCCCGCTCGAGCCAACGAATTTTTCGTTGCTCGATTGCAGTGTCAGATTAATATGAAACTAGTTTTCCTATCTCTGAGGATGGTTCTGAAATAGAATTGAAACACTGCGCGTCCTCAAAGACAAGCGTTAAGTCGTCACGAAAATATTTCGTGCACTTAAATTGGATAAGACTCGCTACCAATCCCTGTTGACTCGATAGCTCAATAGGTAGAGCGGCGGTCTAGATACCCGAAGATGCGAGTTCAAATCCCGCTCGAGCCAACGAATTTTTCGTTGCTCGATTGCAGTGTCAGATTAATATGAAACTAGTTTTCCTATCTCTGAGGATGGTTCTGAAATAGAAGTTAGTTTACCATTGTGGTTTTACTAAAAAGGTATATTACGTTTCTTCTCAGAATGATCATAACCTAAATATTACACATGCCAAGAAAGTCGTATTTAGGGTTGGTCGTACTTTAAGAAAAAAACAAATTGTGCACTTTTCTAGTAAAATGGTTGTTCCCACATCATGCACACCTGGAAAAAGGGGGGATCTCGGGATCATGATGAACATTAGCCTAAAACCAAGAAGATTGAGGAACAGTTTCAATTTTTCACACAACGTTATGCCTTATGGGAGAATCTTAACGAATCATAAAATAAGACACAATCCAAAGTTAGCATTTTCAAACTGAAGTCCCCAAGATTTAAGTCAAAACAAGACGAAAATTGTATACTTTTTTGAAATTGTCGACCAGTAATGGTTTTTAAGAAATCAGTATATAAGTAAGACCTTGTTGGTCATTGTTCAAATTTGGCGTAATGTACGATCAAATTTTCTATTATTTTTAGGCACTTTTGGAGAACATTTGAAGATGGCAAATCTAGGAATCCGAGACACATTGAACACTTTTCCAGATCTGACAAACGCAAACCAACACAAATAACCTAGCGCTAGCTTCCGTTACTATTTATGCTGTGTTTGGTCCTATATTTCTCTTGTGTTTAATGGCGTTTGGCTGCCTTGTGTTATTACTGAATTACGTACAGTCAGTATGGTTCCCGGGTAACACACAGTATAAATACAGTATACTGTGTGTAACACACAGGAGGGCCCCCTATACCTCTTCACAATATGCTTTCACGTAAAAATATTTTGCCTTTTCACGAGTCACGGATTAAGAAAATCATCGATCACGTTTCACGGCTAAGTAAAATAAGCCCTTCACGCTTCACGCAAAAAGTATAGGGGGCCCGATCACGTTTCACGGCTAAGTAAAATAAGTCCTTCACGCTTCACGCAAAAAGTATAGGGGGCCCTCACACAGTATAAATACAGTAGACAGTGAATGGGAAGTATACTCACTAATTCTGATCATTAACATTAAGGGACGGAGGGACTGTCGGAGAGGCAAGATTCTTTTTTGTACACCAACAAGTGAATATATTTTTTCCCATTCGATGACTGGAAATTTTTTTTAAAGTGAAATTTACAGTCCTAGTTTTATACGCTCCATTTAAATAGACGAATTTAATAGGTCAATTAAATTCGTCCAATGTGATACAAAATATAAAGTAGACTCGTTTGGTCACACTCAGGGCCGTAGCTAGACGCGATAATTGGGGGGGGGGGGTATATTCATATATTCATGCATGTTCACATATCGTAAAAACAATCGCTTTCAAAAGAAATCCGTCGGGCAGAACACAATATGAATATGCACCCCCCCCCAAATTATCGGTCTAGCTATGGCCCTGGTCACGCCATGGTTTCATTGGTTTAATGCCACAAATAATGTAAATTGTGGTGCCCAGGATACAATGTTTTAGACAAATCGATGACTTTTAAATAGAATCTACAATAAACTGTAACTATTGAGGCAACCGGCCAAGCCCAAGTAAAATTCAAAGTAGTTGATCCTGGATGTATACATATGGGACAGAGTGTATCCATGTGGGGCAGTCCAATATAGAGCGTGCAAGGCCCTTCCCTCGAATAATATTATTTCCCATTTCTAAACCATGTTTGGTTTATGTTTACAGCTGCTCGGTAGTGACCACCATTCCAAAATGTAGCACCAAATAGACTGTACCTGTTTTATAAAACAATATTCTGGCCTGCCATTGTACATAACATACAATTACAAAAATGGGTACGCAGCGCGTACATGTGTTAGCCTCAAAAAGCTTGCCTAAAGACTGCATACAAAACAACAAGGCAGAAACCGCAGAATGTTTGAGCAAAATAGAGTTCACAAGCATATATACTATTAAACATACTTATTACACATGCACCTACATAATTATAACTAGAAGTCACTATTGCAAGGAAAATCACCCCCAAGGCCCAAGGGATGAAAGCTAGGTAGCATGCGCAATTTGCTGAATAAGGAACTGTTTATATGATCCCGCTTTGCCAGGACGAGATATGAGGCAGGATGATTTTGATATATTGAAATAAGTCACACTCACAGTGCATGATTCAGCAAACGAAAGGTTGTTCAAGCAGCAATAATATTAATCTTCTTGAACTACAAGATCTTCTCTACAACATTTGAGTTCTTTAACCAGCATTTGAACTTTCGTTTAGCCTAGTGACTTAATTCAATACATCAAAATCATCCCACCTTCCATCATGCAAACAGCCCCTAGCTTGGACGCCTGTTCAGAAACCCCTTACACAAAGTCGAAGGTCAGCTAAATATTCTAATTCTACTGCGGTTTTATAGTAGTGTATGTTTGAATGAAATAAATCCAAATAACTGCATGTATTTGGTCTTGTTACTCATGCATCTGTGCACAGTATATATATATATTGTTACTTGCATGAAGGCTGTATTATAGACACTCAGGTACCTTTCTGTTCCTCTATTTTGGGTAACATCAAACTGCTGTGGTGAAAGCTTTTCTTTTAATTCTTTATTGTCAAACTTCACTGGGTAGTCTTCATTTGTCTGTGACTGCGAACTTGCTACATTTAAATTTAATTTGTTACTAATATATAGTTAATTGTATGATGGTAACCACCTAGCTGTGAGCTGAAAAGGGGTAAAATGGGAGCTGGAATTTATGCATTTTTCCACTGTGAAAATGGATGTCCAACACGGCAAGTACAAAACGCAGGTTGCAGGTTGCAGGTTGGAATTTTGCAGGTTGCGAATTTTGCAGGTTGGAATTTTGCAGGTTGGGGATTTTACAGGTTGGAATTTTGCTGGTTGCCAGGAACTTTGCAGGTTGATAATGCAAACTTAAAATGACACCACTTTTTTACTATTCTAGTATAATTTAGTTGTGCATTTATTGCAGTCTGACTCCTTGTCGGCGCCTCTGCTCTAAGGCTAGTGGCCATCACCCTCGTGAAAACATTCAAAATGACCAGATTGGCTTGGACCTACAGGGAGACGAATGCAGGAACGTAGGAACCGACCGGGCCCCCCCCCCAAGTTTTGCCAAGTGCCCTTTTTCCGGGAGCAAAGTGCCCTTTTTTTTGCGTTAAAAATGTTTTAAGGATTGCCTTTTTTTGCCCAAAGCGCACTTTTCGAAACTTGAATTTATGTTATTTTCCGGAATGTCCGAAAATTTTTTTTGTATTTCCGGAAATTTTTTTTCATATTTAGGAAAATTGGATATATCTGGAAAAATTTTTTTTGGTATGTCCGGAAAAATGTTTTGAGACCTACCCCCCCCCCCTCCCCGTCGCCAACATTTCCGGGAAAAAAATTTTAGATGCCCTTTTTTATTCGGAAAGTGCCCCTCAAAGCCTGGTCCTCCCAACTTTTAGAAGCTTCCTACGCCCCTGGACAAATGTTTTGATTGTTGCGACGTGCCTACATGATGTGGCGGCGTTTGTACTAGAATGTTGTTAAAAGTTAACTAACTCTCGAGTAATGATACGGTAATTGGGGGCTTGAGTGGTCTCATTAGTGGGTGCAGAGGAGAGACACCTCATTCAGGCATTTTCTGAACTGCCACCACGTCATGTAGGCTCCTCGCAACAATCGAAACATTCGTCCCCCTGAAGATCCAAGCCAATCTGGTCATTTTGAATGTTTTCACAAGGGTGATGAGCAGAGGCTAGAAACATGGTAGCAGGATAGGCTGATATCAAAAGCGGCAACAAGGAGTCAGACTGCAATAAGTACACAATAAAATTATACTAGAATACTTTATAGTAGTGTAATTTTCAGTTTGCATCATCAACCTGCAAAATTCCTGTCAACCTGCAAAATTCCAACCTGCAAAGTTCCTGGCAACCTGCAAAACTCCAACCTGCAAAATTCCCAACCTGCAAAATTCCAACCTGCAAAATTCCCAACCTGCAAAATTCCAACCTGCAACCTGCAACCTGCGTTTTGTACCTGCCGATGTCCAACATAGTAATTGTAACTGCATGGGTTTCAAGCAAAATCCTATGACATTAAACAGTGCAGATTTAGTAAATGGGGACAACTTATTCACATTTTGTAAGGATGATATTTATGTAGCTAGATCTCATCACACCCTATGTCCTTTCAAAATAAAGTTAATATATGTAAGCAAGACTTGGAGCAAGTCTAGGATAATATTAATACCTCAGATGAAACCACATTAACAATTTTTAATGTTTATCTGTATTATATATGTAATTGCAATTAAATCATTCCAATGATCATGCTTTGCTGTGTATTAATTAATTATGTGGCATTTTTAAAGTATATTTTTCCCTTTTGACCCTACATATATCCTTTCATTACTGAAAATTGCAGGTCTTCAAGTTTTCGCACTACACCTTTTTGACAGTGAATGGGAAGTTTCCAATCAGGGAAAGGTCTAATAAAGGTTTTTAAAAAGTTTGTATATGTAATTATAAAGCACGATCTTTTGGGGGTACCTGATCTACAGAATACCCCATTAATTACATCTGAAGGAAGCAACATTTTCAAGAAAAAACTAGTGTCACATAACTCCTTTTTGAATTTAAAGAGGTTAACCCATTGAGTGGCAGCACTCTCTACTTAACGAGTAAAATTGTCTGGCGTTACAAAGTAAAATAATAAACTAGGGTGCATTGGCACTTAAAGGGTTAAGAGGATGCATTGGCAGATTGCTTGATTAATTAACCCATTGAGTTATTGCCTACAGTGTAGAACTCTCCACTTGACGAGTAAAATCGTCAGGTGTTAGACAGAGTAAAATAATAAACTAGGGTGCACCAGGCTTAATAGTAATTGACTTCATTTTGGAAACATTATTATTGCCATATCAGGCCTTTATAAACATTGTTTCTTGATGGCATTTTTATTTCCGAATGTGTTATAAAATTTTGAGCCTCAAGTTTGTTGTTTTTTCTTGTTTGTCAATAGTTTGCACTAGAAAGTCGCTGTTGCCACCTTAACTGCTGGGTATTACTAGTACAAAATTAGCACTAAATGATGGTAATTTCTACAGTGCACCAACAAGTCTATAGTTTGTTTTTTAAAATACTGCCATGTGTTTCATACGCAATGGTATTGAAATTATCTTCATAAAAAATATAAATATAAAAATTATTAGATATTAAAAATTTTAGTACATGTACAGATACCTGTATCACCCATGATAAAATTACAGCATATAATTTGTAATACAAATGAATTCACTGCAATTATAAACACTTTGTAACATAGATTGTTACATTTCATAACTAATTTATTTCAGTGCCCTAAAATTATCATTTCAATTTTCAAGTCATTGTCTCATTGAAAATTCAGTGTTTCCACGACACCAATAAATCTAAAATTTCAATTTCCAACCTGCGAATTTGGAACACAAAGTTACAACATAGAGGACTACGGTTACACAAGGTCATTTGGAGACGTCATATATAGAAATAGATAGTTTTTTTCCTAACGATTTAAAGCTACTATTAATTCCTGATCTCGAAGATTTACTAACTTATCGAATATCGATATCAGTTATCATTATTACGACTTGAAAAGTGATAATATTCGTCATCTTCGTTTGACATACACGTAAATTATAGGAGATATTAGAGACATTAGACCATATATTAGTAGTGCGGTTTGACGGCCAGGGGAGACCCTAAATCTTGTAACCGCTGGACGATGCTTTACAGTTTACATTTTTGACTCGAGATAACATAAACTCTCAATACAAGTCCAACTATGGTTTTACAAGGTTTAATTAAGATACGCAATTTATTATACTATCTGTTTAAATCTAATCTGAATTATCTGACCTTTCCATATAGATTAGTATTATTTTTACATAATTCACTTTTTTAATCATCTTTAGAAAAGTTCACACATTTTACATTTCCAGCATTTGGGGGTCCCCTCTGGAAAAATTGGGTCCCCTTCAGACTTAGTGCCTTTCCTTTGGAGGGAGAGAGAGGGGGGATGTTACACCAAAACAAATTTTGGTTAGCGAAGTCACCATGAAAAAGTTTGATCGCTTCCTATTTTTTCGCGGCGAATGTTTTCGCTAGGTTAAAAGACTTTCAAGTTTACCAAGCCCCATTTTTACACTCTCACAACTACTTGAACATTGACGCAAATGTCAGTCAGGAGATAAAACAGGAACTGACAGTCTTGGTCGAATGCCTACAGACTGAAAACTTTGTGCAAAGTTGTAATGTTTCTATAGCAAATTTAGCACGAAGCCTTGACTGCCGGCGTGATTGTTTCTAAACCTCTAGAGCATAAATTCGGAAATGGTCAATTGAATTTTAATAACCGTACTGACCCTGCCGTAATACTAAGCGCTGCCCTTCTCGAAATACGATGTTTTCGAAGTTGTGTTTCGTAAACATAATGGGTGCTCCCAACCTCTGATGAACAAATTTTGATTTTTGCCCTATAATTTCGTAATAGGTATAAATTAACTTCAGAGACACTGAAAACTGCATATGGTGGTTGAATTTTAGTGAGATAGATGACCTATTGCTCCGTTTCCATGGTAACCTGCCAAGGCCGGCGAGAGGGGGGGGGGCAAAATACCCGGGGCCCGGAGTGCTCAGAGGGGCCCGGAAAGCTCGGGAAAATGTTCGTATCGTTTATCATCGCTATATGTTTGTCCTAAATGAAATACGCCTACTTGCACATTATTTGCTGATCCGGTCGTGATTGATCGTAAAACGTGCCAAATGTGAAATAAAGGGTATGACTAAAGGGAGAGTTACCAATCGGAGAGTTATCTCGGAGAGTTATGATTTTGGAGAGTTATGTTCGAACCACGCCCAAACTACGCCCACTTTCCCCAATGACCACACCCAATTTCGTAACTCTCCCGATGTTTCCTTGAAGTAACATGAGAGAGTTATGAAGATGTTAGAGAGTTATCATTTTTTATACTGTAACTCTCCGCGTTCACGATTGTGGCAATGAAGAGAGTTCGGTCAGTTTTTTGAGAAAACCTTTAAATAGTAAAGCTTGTTTCTTCAGATTTTCATCTTCTATTTGAGGGTACCTAAATATCGAGTCAGGAATTCGAGCCAGGACTCGAGCTAGGACTCGAGCCAGGACTCGATTCAGGACTCGAGCCAAAAATGACGTCAGGTGATTTTGATGGATGAAAATTTACCAACAGCGTTCTCACTTTTAAGGAACTTTCCTTAAATTTAGACTATTCGTTCACCAACAATGCGAAATGTTTAAGGAAATTTAACTGAATCTGAGGAATTGTTTATCGATAACCTAAGTGATGTTTCGCAAATGGGAAGTGAGAGAACTTGTTTACCAAATCAATTTCCCGCCTTTTTCCACCAGAGTCGATAAAAGAACTAAACTGACGATAGTCTATATTTGGTATATTTGTACATACAGAGCTGTCAATCTCATCTTTGGCTATTTTAGGGGCCGATTACATGGAGCAGGAGCATTTTCAACCCCGGGGTTGAACTCAGCCCTGTTAACCGGGTTGAATTTTTTTGCGATTACATGGACGATTTCAACCCCGGGGTTAAAACGTTATACTATACGTTCTCGGCATCGATTCGCGGAAGTAAAAAAGCCTTTATTTTGTTTTCTTGTAAGAAATAGTCACTACCACGCATGCTCGAATAACTCATTATAATTTCAGCCCTGGGTTGAAACGATTACATGACAAAATTTTCAACCCAGGGCTGAGTTCAACTCCGGGATTGAAATTTCAACCCTGCTAGCTGAAGCAGGGTTGGAATTTCAACCCCGGGATTGAACTCAGCCATGGGTTGAACATTTTGTCATGTAATAGCGCGTTTGATTTTGATAGAGTTTTGTATTACAGACAGGGCTGAAATTTCAATCCGGCAAACAGGGCTGAGTTCAACCCCGGGGTTGAAAATGCTCCATGTAATCGGCCCCTAACTGTAACGGTTATTAGCGTCGGAAGACAGTGAATGTTCCAACCTCGTCCCCAGGGCCTTTTAAAGAAAGATGCGAAGGGACGAGGTTGTGAATGTTCTACTACTAGCAAATTAGCAAATTTATAAATACAACCTTTCAACTAATTACGCTAATCACCTTGTGTAATTTACCAATGAGAGCGAGGTCCAAGACCAAAAAGTATGTGTAATTATCGAAAGGGTGTATTTGGTAATACAGTTAGCCAGTGTGGCCGGCTCTTCTATAATACAGTTTGGTGATATTGGCGTCTATTACAGGAAAATAAGGCAGGGAGAATTATCCTACTCTTTGACGAATGCTAAGCGGCAATGAGCGGCAACAAGTATCTGTTTTGTAAAGAGCGAGAGACAACCTCGTTCCCAGGGCTTCAGTGTGAGGACGAGGCGAGACACGAGGAAGCCCTGGTCCGGGCCGGTCACTTTTGCATTCTGATTGGCTAACACCATATTGTCTAAAAATAACTGAACTTGACGGTTGACAATAACAAATTACAATACAATTCAACATTTAATAGTATTTTTTACTTTGAAAGATGATTTTGCAAAGCATACTCGTACACACAAGAATCATAATATGATTCTTGTGTGTACGAGTATGCTTTGCAAAATAATCTTTCAAAGTAAGACGTTTTCCCGACTGCACAATTTACTTTCGCCTCGGCCGGTTACAAAACTCAAAAGCCGTGTCGAAGTGAGCTGTGATGTTTCCTGACAAAACAAGAAATGTCTACTGTTATTTAAGTTTTCCTTGTACAGTATTTATTAGTGCAGATGTCTGATGAAATACTACGCGTATTGCATTGTAGTAATATTTTAATTTACAATATTCTGTACTGACAAATAAAAGCAAGACAAACAATTAAATGAAACTACTAAATTAATTCGAGAATTAATTTAGGTCCTGTTTACTTAATAGCTCTACGCCTAGGCCGATGTAGACTACAAGATTCGCACGCCACCCAGTTTTTCAGTTTCAAAATACGCCGAATACTTGAAAATTGCGACTATACGATAAAATAAAACAAAGATTGTGAAGGGGATAAAATTTGTAGGCAAGCATTTCTGCGGAACGGCAAGTGTTGGTGTCTGGCGAAACAAGCGAACCGTATATTCCTGTACAGCGTAAACAGGTTACGCGAGGTTTTATATTTGTGTTTATTTAATATATTGAACTAAGTCAGATCTATAAGAGCATATTTAAACTAAATATTAATTATAGCAATAGCCATATTGTTCAAGACGAGAGAAAGGAAATTTCGTGTGAATCACCACTTGCATGGAGACGCCCAGATGCAGCTTGGATGCAGAGCTTTGCCTGTAGTAGATCTTCATAGATTTTAGCTGATTCGTGCCAAACTTCGCTCTACACATAAATAATATCGATTGAGAAGTCTTTTGGCTATTTATTTGTTTCGAAGACTTAATTGCATATTTCATTAAAGAATATCTCGCCACTCCTTGACGAGTAGCTGTCAAATACTGCCATTTTTTGACGTCACGTGACCGGCCCGGACCAGGGCTTCCTCGTGTCTCGCCTCGTCCCCACACTGAAGCCCTGGGAACGAGGTTGGAGCGAGAGACTGCTAGTGATCGGCAATACCAACTGTTTTAGTTCGATAAAATACTGGCCGGATATTTCCCTTTTTTGGATATCGATATTTGTGCAATATATCAAAGACAAACAACAACAATGGTATTGACTATTGTTTCATTCACTGTCTTCCGACGCTAATAACCGTTAATACAGTTAAGCCAAAGTCAGATGAGATTGACAGCTCTGTATGTACAAATATACCAAATATAGACTATCGTTCTTCAGGGACGGACCATTTGATTTTTCATGGGGGGGGGGGGGCGCAAATCCGAAAAAAAATATCGAGCATGTCTCAAATTGAAGAAAAAAAATCGAACATCAACACCATCAAAAAAAATATCGAGCACAAAAAATTTCTAAATTAGCAATACTCTATATTGAAAGAAAAATGCTCCAGCCCGATTTCTGGTTCTGAATTCTGGTTGTTGCTTTGCAACATCCGTGAGTCAAAAATGCAATCTGAACAATATTTTTCACGAAAGCAAAGGGCACTTTGCCACCGGAAAAATGGCACTTTTGGTGTCTTCTGAAAACGTGGGTGACTTTGCCCCCCGGTTCCTACGCCCCTGTACCGTGTTGAGAACACTGATATGATTGGGAACCGTGAGAATTTCTATATAGATGCCATTATGCCAATGCAAATATTAATGGTAGAGTTGATTTAAACTAAAAAATGACACAGTACATTTGAATAATTTATTTATAATATGGTATGTTTTATTTCCCAGTACATAAAGTATATGGAACATGTCAACTGCAGAAACAGTTTTTTTATATTAAGACAATTATAGTTTTTATGTTCTTGAACAAAACATTTATAAACATTAACCTTAAAAATATTAACTATACCTATAAAGTATATATTTAAATATCTACAACGATTTTTAATGACAATTCGCAATCAGTCCGTCCCCGTATATTCTGTATATTCAAATACATTCTTCAGCCGGAATATAACCATACGTGAATGATGGTTTTATAAAAATACTGAATGCAGGTATTATTGCATTAACGCTATATTAAAAAATTAATTAAAAAAAATATCGTGCACGCGCAATATTCGATAAAAAATAATCGTGCGGAGTCGGTGAGGTCCAAAAAAAAATCGAGCACTCTCAAAAAAGCGCCCCACCCCATGAAACATCAAATGGTCCGTCCCTTAGTTCTTTTATCGACTCTGGTGGAAAAAGGCGGGAAATTGATTTGGTAAACAAGTTCTCTCACTTCCCATTTGCGAAACATCACTTAGGTTATCGATAAACAATTCCTCAGATTCAGTTAAATTTCCTTAAACATTTCGCATTGTTGGTGAACGAATAGTCTAAATTTAAGGAAAGTTCCTTAAAAGTGAGAACGCTGTTGGTAAATTTTCATCCATCAAAATCACCTGACGTCGTTTTTGGCTCGAGTCCTGAATCGAGTCCTGGCTCGAGTCCTAGCTCGAGTCCTGGCTCGAGTCCTGGCTCGAATCCTGACTCGATATTTAGGTACCCTCAACAGGAAATAGTACAACTTGACTCGGTCAAAACAATGAGATGCTTGCCGCAGAAGGGTCAAAATACCCCCAGAAGCATGTTTTGACGTGTATTTGGCAGTAAATACGGTAAGCATAGTTGCAAGAAAATTGAAAAAATTGCGAAAATTGAATCTTTCAGAAATTCAGGTTTTGCAAATATTTTCCCATATCAGCCAATATAGGGCATTACATTGGAAAGGTTTTCTGGTTCTATCTAATACGAGAGCTGTATCTGATCGAATGTTGGGCTTTGTAGGTAATCCAAGTGAGCATGTATAATAATTTATTTACTCGTACTCGCTTCACTTGGTAAGTACTAAAGTACTACTAGTTTCTACTAGCGTGGAATATTAAAGCTGAAACTTGAGAAACGAAAGTAAATTCACAATAATTTACTAAAATGTGGAAGTTTTTTTCAAAAATCTCTTCATTGCCACAATCGTGAACGCAGTGAGTTATAAAAAATGATAACTCTCTAACATCTTCATAATGTTAACGAGAGAGAGAGAGTTACGTCAAACATAACTCTCACATGTTAGTTCAAGGAAACATCGGGAGAGTTAAGAAATTGGGTGTGGTCGTTGGGAAAAGTGGGCATGGTTTGGGCGTGGTTCGAACATAACTCTCCGAAATCATAATTCTGCGAGATAACTCTCCACTTCATAACTCTCCGTTTAGCCGGTCCCTGAAATAAACGATCGTTTTCTCAGCAAAAACAGTTAGCTGAACATCGATCACATTGCGCCGTTTTATCAGTTATGCGGCGATTTCTTGCAAGTAATTCGCTGGCAATTCTCTCGTTGATTGCGATTAAAAATAGCCAGCGGGAGTGTCGAGAGGGACAAGGGGGCTGTGTTCACCAATCGTCATTTTGTCCCGGGGCCCGTGGTTGGCTCTCGCCGGCCTTGTAACCTGCTTGGCATTTCTATTGTTTTCCTTATAATAGGCGGCAGAAAGAGCAAAATCCATCGCCACAGCTAGAAAGAGCATTTTACAAAGCAATTAAATCTACCATCACTTGTCAAAAAAATTATAAAAAGTCGCTGTTATGTGGACTTATCTCACAGACTTCGGCTGAAATGCCACCCAAAACTGGCGGCGTGAGAAAGGCTAATTGCCTATTGGTTTGATATGTTTTCCAAAGCTCATATATTGCAGTAGAAAACAGTCATGTTGTTTGAAAAGCTCATGTAATAATATTTGATATGTCCATGTTGTTTTCATATAACGTTCAGGTTCTTTCTTTTTTCTTAATGCGAGGGAGGTTGCTTAGATGAGTGAGGGTCGGTTTTGCAAAACAAACTGAATTAAAATAGGCGGGGATATAGATGGGCGGGGAGGGGGAGAGGTGTCTGACTAACTCAAAATTCCAGCTTGAATGCTGGTTCAGCTTCAAATTATAAAACAAAAAACATTTAACCCCAAGCAAATTAAAGTCTTTGTCCTAAGTTCTTTTTTCCTTTGACTTTACCATATAGGTACTAAAATATCGTTCTAGGTTTTAAGCTTTTAGTTGATGCCTTTAATGTAGCGTTTGTAGTTGCATGCTGCTGCACTGTACTGACGTAAGGCCACATAAAATAAATTCCTTGATTCTCATCACTACACTTTGAAAATGTCGAAGAGGCGGGAGGTTTATATTTTATATGTATATAATTTTATATATATCAATAAATAAAAGTGTCACAAACTGAAATAAACATATTTCTCCACGAACAATGACTGGCCCTTGAACTGAATGCGAAGTTCCGTTAAAATGCAATGAAATTTCTTTCAAGGTTCTATTTGTTTGAAATTGGCAGTTTAAAATGGCACTAAAAACCCAATATAAAATATAAAAAACTTAACTGTCTTGAAATATTTTGTCGGGCGGTACATTTATTTTGTATAACAAAATATAAAAAAATTTCACGCGGCTCTTAAAATACAGTCGGGCGGGGCGGTGATGAGAATCAAGGAATTTATTTTTATGTGACTTATGTGGCCTAAATCGTAATTATATACAGTAATAGGATTGGGCGGCCGAAGATATGTTGTTTCCCGAGTTATCCTTGGCTGTTAAGTAATGATGTCAGTCTAAATGACGTACTTCCTTCCATTGGGAGGGCAAGGCTATTGAAGGTTGTGAGAATTTTTTTCTTCACCCATTTTCTCTAACCAGCCATTTATTCAAAAATCCTCAAAACCTTCAATAAAATAAAGCGGCTGCTACGCAGGCTATGGAGTATGGCTCCCACATTGTTCTCCACTCTGGCTTTGACTCCGCGCACATGTTTTGCATTGTGCTCGACACTTTACACTATAAACATATTATGTGAACTGTTTTGTTGTTATTAAATTGAAATTATTTTTTTTTGTTATTTTTTATTAATTTTTTGATTGTTTAGTCGAGTGTTTAGCAACGATAAACATTTTAGCAATACAATTCGAGACTAGATTTAGTGCGGTCCATACATTCTAACTAAACTAGTATTGTTGTGGACATTGTGATACAGACTCTCAACGGTCTCACTCGGTCTGTGCCAGCTCGTGTGCCACAGTGCCAGCGTATAGGCCCGTATAGTTCTATAGTTGAGTCGCTATAGTTGAGTTAAATAGGATGTTTACGATATCGTGAAAACTGAACATGTTCCTTCCTTTGAATGTTTTAGCCAAATTTATCAGAAACTCTAATGCCTGCAGGGGTCAGTTAAAACTCTTAAGTGCATTGTGCATGCATGGATATAATTTGCGCTGAAACGATCTTTCTACTAGATTTGAAATATTTACAATTCTAATTGTAGTAGGACCAAAGTTTATTTATAATAGGACCAAATTCTGTGTCAGGACGACTTACATTAATTTAATTTAATGTTGTTTGATGCCCGCAAGTCGTGTTTTTCGCGTTATGAATCCGCGTGCGCCATGACTGAAACAGCGACGTTGCACCGCTGTGAAACAAGATACTGTACAATAAGTAATAACTATTAGCAAGTGAATCCAAAGAATATGCTTGAAACAGAGACAAGATAAATACAATATGATAATTTTAGCAAGTGTTCGACTTCGAAATACTTCAGTCTTTACTAGACCTAGGCCAAGGGATAATATAATTCCAACAACAATATTGCGCCTTCAAGGCAGTGTTCAAGGCTTCCAGCAACACTCCTTACATGTTTTATAGTCGCGTGGGCGGCGTGGCAGAGCCAATCATTAATCTTGCTTGAGACAGCCTACAAGATTATTTGAACCTCGATTTGAACTAAAATTTAGTTAACTATTACAAGCTTACTGGAAAATTCTAAGGTTAAGCCCTAGCTTATCATTTCTGGTCATTACCCATTTCCTGCATTGAATTTCCTGTGTCAATATCGTGAACACGTCACAAGTGCACGATTTTTTCTGGTTTGTTCATGTGTTAACCTAATGCTGTCCACATGATAGCCATGCATTTGCTACGTGCACCGCAACACAGCACGCGTTGATGACGCCTCCTTGACACCTGTTTATTCAACCAATCAGAAAGCGTATAGTAAGTGGACCGAACCGTTTATAATTTTGATATCTTATACAATACAAGTTAGTTTATCTTGGTTGTTCTTGTTAGAAAGATTTCAACACACTTTGAAACTTAATATGGAACTCGCTTTCTTAAACATAAATAATGTAAGTGTAAAATTTCATATCAATAGTGATCAATTTTATTCGAACACTCTATTTGCCGGTCATGGAAAGCCTGACTGATGTTAAATTTTCTATTCATTTTATAGGAGGATGACCTTGAAACTTACAAAACTGCTACAGTTACTGACAAAGAAAGCAAGTCACAACAAACGGGTAATGAAAGTGAAGCGGTTGATCCGTGGGCACTGCCTGAATTTGAAAGAACTGGTCCAAAATGGCAAGGTAACTTAAATTTTGGCGCAATTTTACATTTGCCGGTTGATTCATTTCAATTCATAAATGGCGCCATTTCTTTTCTTTAGAATTAACGACGGGCGGTAAAGTGAACCTCGTTATTCGCACTTTTATCAAGATTATCTGCCTTCTTTGCCTTCTATATTTGTTCATATGTTCCCTAAACTTTCTCAGCTCTGCTTTCCGGTTACTGGGTGGGAAGACGGCTGGGAAAGTGTTTGCTGCCGACGGAATACTCTCAAATCCTGTTGCTGGTTTGATGATTGGACTTCTAGCAACTGTTCTGTTTCAAAGTTCTTCCACTACCACTTCAATAGTCGTCGCAATGGTCTCCTCAGGCAGTAAGTATGGTGCAGTAAAATTTGAAAGAAATTTGAAGAATAAATGTAATAATATAAAACCCCAAGCTAAGGCTATTTACAGTCGTGCCAATAGAAGCGTCTTTATATAAATACAACTTTTATATATATTAAACCTGATACCGAAACAAACCACCGGCTACCTTGGTTTATAAGTTAAACTAAAACCTAAAAGAACTTTAATAAAATTTTAAATATCTGTATTTATAGCGGAGCGCAAATTTTTTTTTCAGTTTGTACTTTCGAAAACTCATGGAATTAGTTCGCCACGTGTTTGACTAAATTGGTTGCCAAGGTCAACTTTGCCTTTGTCTATGCATTTTTCACTCCAATGTAAATTAGATAAAAATATTATTTTGATCAAAATGTGGCAGTAGAAGAACTGAGGATGCTTATTGTCTTGGCATTAGGCAGGGAATTTGCGTCAAAAGATAGCTAGCCAAGTTTATCGAAATATCAAATTCCAACCATATGTCTCAAATGTCGATATATTAACTTCCGCTGCAGTTATTTACATAATTGTCATAGAATTAAATTCTGTCGTGTTACATTGATTTCGTAATACTTTTATGGCTACAAACTAGTATTTCTATAGAATGTTTCAATATTGTATGGAACGTATGGTTTTGCAAGGACTTTGCCCCTTCATCAATTATGAAAATTATTTTTTGTTGTTATTTTTTATTAATTAATCAATTGGCAATTGCAGTGATGGGGGGGGGGAGGGGGGGTGTATAGGGGTATACAAGTCCGCCGATCCGCCCAAATTTGAAGCAAAATCTGCGATCCAACAATGGTCTTGTCTAAATTTGAATCCGCTAAAAACTCTACTATGAAGTCACAATCCAGGATCTGAACTAAATTGCAAGCTAAATCCACAATAATCCGAGCCTAAAATATTAGATAAATCCGCAATCTGAACTTGTATTAATAAGATCCGCAAATCTGTGTAAAATATTCGCCAGATCCAAAATCCGAACAATTTGTTCTGTGAAATCTGACCCGAAAACCTATTCAAACCTCAGTGATATAAAGTAATAGTATGCATGCTTTTTTACTTTGAAATCTGGTGTGGACATAATTAAATATAGTTATATTGTGCCCTAGTTTATTATTTTACTCTGTTTTACACCAGATTATTGAACTATAGCTCTGTCTAATGCAGACAATTTTACTCATGCAAGGGGATAGGCTGTTGCTCAATGGGTTAAGCAAATTAATTAAGTATTTAATTTCAGGCAATATGTTTGAGGACTGCAATTACCCCCACCAAAAGGTCATAATAAGTTTCTGTCACTAATGTTTTCTATTTTTTACAGTCCTGGATGTTGGACAAGCAATTCCGATTATCATGGGAGCAAACATTGGCACCTCTGTGACCAACACCATAGTTTCCATGGGTCATGTGAAACAGCGTGATGAGTTTCGTCGAGCATTTGCAGGAGCAACAGTTCATGATCTGTTCAACTGGCTTACAGTCCTTGTCCTACTGCCAACTGAAGTTATAACGAAGCATTTCTTTGGCTCTTCCTATCTTTTCTACTCCTCAAAAGCTATCACAGATGCATTGGGCATTGAGAAAAAGCAAGGAACTAAAGTAGAATTTCTAAAGACTATAACCAAACCTTTCACCAATCAAGTTATTAAAATAGACAAAAATGTAATCAAACGTATTGCTGAAGGTAAAGATGTTGCTGCTGATGAAAGTTTGATCAAGTACTGGTGTAAGACAACCAAAGTTTTCAACAACACCCTGAATAAAACTGTCAAAGTTGGAGTGGAGCCATGCAAGTTTCTTTTCCATGATACAGGAATGAAAGATTCATTGGTTGGCATTATTTTATTAGTTCTTTCTATTGCTTTGCTCTGCTTTTGTTTGGTGTGTATAGTTAAATTATTGCATTCAATGCTGAAGGGCAATTTAGCTTCAGTTGTTAAGAGGACCATTAATGCTAATTTCCCTGGGCCATTTAAGTATTTTACGGGGTATTTTGCCATTTTGGTTGGCGCTGGTATGACCATGTTGGTACAGTCCAGTTCAATCTTCACATCAGCACTAACACCATTGGTTGGAATTGGCATTGTGACAATTGAGCGTATCTTCCCATTGACACTTGGTGCAAACATTGGTACCACTGGTACTGCTATTCTAGCTTCCCTTGCTAGTTCATCGAACTTTCAAGCAGCATTACAAATTTCTCTGTGCCATCTATTGTTCAATCTGACAGGAATAGCCATCTGGTATCCATTGCCATTCATGCGGAATGTTCCTATCAAGTGTGCCAAGAAACTTGGTGATACAACTGCAGACTATCGTTGGTTTGCATTGGTTTATCTTGTCATATGCTTCTTTATTCTACCTGCTACAATATTTGGGTTATCCCTAGCTGGTGCGTACATCCTACTTGGTGTCCTTGTTCCTATTGCCACCTTGCTGTTGTTGGTTGTAATAATCAACCTTCTACAAAACAAGATGCCTTCCATCCTACCCACATTACTAAGGACATGGAAATGGCTTCCTGAGTGCCTGCGCTCACTGAAACCCTATGACAAAGTGTTTGTCAAAATCATTGAGGTGTTTAAAAGTTGTTGTGGTAAGAAGCAATGTGCAGTTGATTGTGATGAACCAGAAACTTATGTTTAAGATTACATTATATAAAAATTTAACATGCTTGACCTTATTAACTCTTTCTCATCCATACACATTCCCATTGGGAAATGAATTTGTCAGGCTTTCTGGTTTGTGCTAAAGAAAAAAACATGATAGAGTCAACAAGTGTTGGGTCTCAGCCATGCCCATAACATACAAATTTAAGTTTGACTTCAGATGTGGATGGGAAAGAGTTTTAATGCATACATTTGAAGTAAATTGAATGCTAACCCAACACTTTTGTGTTTCATAATTATATTTCAAAGAATAGAAAAATCTGCAATAGGTTTTTACTGATCAAAATATGATTATAAAACACAAAAGTATTGTTGTGTTCTACTTATACCAGGGAAATTGCTCAAAATTCATTCAGGCTTTGGCACATTCACATATTTATATTAAGTTCTACTCCTTGAATCTTTTGAGCCATCTGCTCCATAACAAAAATATCAAGTAGTCAATGATGCTTCATGCTTGTGCATGAGCTTTAAAATAATTCTTTATTAATTTTATATAATGTTTTATTGTGTGATAAACTGATAATTCATATGGCCCCATCTAAAGTATTAACAAGAAAGTTCCTAGTTTGATTAACTACGTTATAGTAACTGTGATCATCTCTAATGTTCACAAGAATTATAGTAACAAATTAAAAAATTTATATAAAGATATTTATGAAAGAGATTACTAGAAAAATTATTATTAAAAATTTTTAGAAAATGGGTGCTTTCTTGTTGAACATATGAATTGTTTAACATGTTTAGAAAAGCTCTTGAAGTTGCTTTTTCATAGTTAATTTATAAAATAGTTATGTTATTTTATTTTGTGTATGAATGAAGTGCTAATAAAGTTCTTATTTGTTCACTTTAATGCCAGGGAATCTCATAAGACCTTCAGCAGGTGAGTATTGTACAAATATTAATTTTTAATCCTTGTAGTTTGTTCATTGTTTTTGTTTCACGGCCTTGCTACCAACCAACTAGTAACCATTCTTTTGTAATAAGGGTATAATTTAGCTTTCTAGATAATTTCCCCACAGGCTATATTATACGCATTACCAAAAAGGAAAATAACTCGATATTTCACAATATTGTTACCACAGTTTCAAGAAATAGCAGTAAACAGTTACTACAACAAATTGATGCCTCAATATATTGTGTGTATAATACACCCACGTAGTCTGATGATGGCATTGACATGAAACTGCATGCAGTTACCGAATTTTAAAACTTTTTAATTTACCATTTTTTAAGTTTAACATTAAATTTTAATACAGCAAATTGGCCAACAATGTTTGAAATAATTTTATGACAATATATCATTTTTGCAATGACGTCATTTTGGGATGGTATATTAAGTCAACAGAATATACATAAAGCCACATACACCACAGTCCACACCAACCCAATTGTCCCTGATTTATATCTAACTGATGTGCTGCTTATTTACAATTATTTAGCTTTGTTTCCAGATTCTACTACTGTATTTGCACTACATATGTTTCTTCCATTCGTATTTTATTCACTTTTGTCTTTACTAAAATTCTAAATGATTTCTCCACACCTCTTCAGACATAGTTGATAGTTCTCACTAACGTAACGTCTTACTTGACATGAAGCCGTACTTGGTAGGTTTATCCCTTTAAGTGGCAATGCGCCCTATAGCTATTTAATAGTTAATACTTTATTATTTTACACTCTCTAACGCCAGACGATTTTACTCGTCAATGGGGGATTGCTGCCAATCTATAGGTTCAAAAGGATTTTCCGTTCCTTGATAGATATACACAAAAACTAAATATTTATTCGTTGGACATTTCCCTTGGCTTTGAGTTTGGCCTATTTATATGTGCAATAAAATATTTCTTTGAGGATCATTGAAAAGCAAAACCTTTTGACTTGTTCTTATTTACGCGTGCAAAATAATTTAATTTATTTCTTCCTGCAAAATAATCTAATTGTTTGTTTGTGCCCTTTTTAGGTTTCGTTGCCGTTGGTTTTCGATTACTTCTCACTCACTTGATTGCGTGATTTTTACAATCGGAATGACATTAACTAGTCATTAGATGCACAATCTGTATGAACCAAGCAAACACCAATATCATAATAGGGCAACGTTGTTATGCAACAATATTGTAGTTGCGAAAAACATGGTGTTGCTTGTAACAGTATTCCATGCATTGTATATAAATATTGCATGACTACGCTGTTTACAAGACGCATTGCGCAACGTTCATGCAGAACTGGTAATTGCATCAGTATGCAATTAATTTCTTTTACTTGGTGTTTATAGCAATCTCGTTCCCCGAGCCTGCGATCCTCGGGAAGGAACGCGAGGCTCTGGGATAATCCGTTGCCGGAAGCCAGGAATTGTGGCTAAGATTGAACTACGCATCCATTTCAACGGCCAATCAGATTCCTCCCCGAAACGGATTATCCCAGAGCCTCGCGTTCCCGAGGATCGCAGGCCCGGGGAACGAGATTGTGTTTATAGCTACATGCACATATACTACCGTTTCTGCACCTGTTTGTTGTGATCCAAAGAACAAAAGATAAAACAAAAGTGATATTCATCCGAACTAACTTTGCATGAAAAAGAGGTTCGTAAATGGCAGAACGAGCACCGACGTACATGCAGTCTTGCACTTGTGCAATACTAACAATGCATAAATATGAAGTTCGAATAATGTATGTTTGGCTAAAATTTCGTAACCCGTCGTCCATGACATATTGACAATTGAATTGTGTTTTCATGCATGAGAAACACCTGTGAAAATTTAAGTTTAAAAGAAATTTGTAAAACTCAGTCAGCTCCTGCCACTTCGAAAATATTCACTCAAACTTCAGTGGACTCTCGAGTAAAAAAATTGCGGAACGAGAAATATTTTCTTAACTAAAGTAACTTACTTTATAGACTATATTTTTTGGGCGTTAATAAAGGCCATGTTGCACGAGGCAACTCTTGCTGCAACTTGCAATTTCTCAAACAAAGCCATATTATATTTAAGGTATTCACAGAAAGTCTGTGAACACGGCCCACTTCGCTCCCCCAAAGTGTTTTCATTCTCATTTCTTTCATGCCTTCAATTTCCTCCAACCTCTTTCCTCCACACAAGCAAAGAGCCTGGGGTCGAGATTGTCATGGTGAGAAAAACGTCGGCGGGGTAAAACCTGGGCCATGCTTTCCATACGAGTACTTGTTAAATAACATGGATCTGTGTCAGAAAATGCGTTGCAAGTTGCAGCAACAATTACCTTGTGTAGCATGGCCTTATCAGTATTCCCTTGTATCTGTGAGCTCTTTTAAAATGTTTCGATTGAATCTGGATTCGTCTGAAAGGGCTAAGATTATATAGGCATACATTGTGATAAATAATACGTTGATTGATTCGTGACGGGCAGTAAAGCCAGTTTTCCACTTCAAGCGTACCGTACCGAAACGTATCAAAAACATTTCAAAATTTAGCCTGAATGTTGATTGGTTAATACTTCCGTAGTACGTCAGGAAGTTGACTTGCGGCGAACTCTTCATTTTGATGCGCGAAGCCGAATACACCCGGAAGTACGTGGATTTGTTAACCTCTTCAAGCTGCGCATGCTCACTAGTACGTTTCGGTGCGGTACGGTTGAAGTGGAAAACTGGCTTAACTCGCAGTAGTATGCGGTAGCTGCGTATACTTATACACACAAGAGAGCTCAATTCTGCACTTGTCAGCAAACCACCTTGCATACATGACAATCCTGTTATAGAATTTCGAATGTATGTCTAACACTCTACTTCGGTTCTCATTTCAGGTACGGACTCTCTCTTCATGTGGTAAAATTGTAGTCTTCCTCAGTACGATAACAGAGAACAAGACATACAACGTGAGAGATGCGTCATTTCCGATTTGCCATGGTTTCTAATTTTGAAAAAAAAGTTCGGCATACCATGAGTACTCGTACACAACTAACTGCATTAGTATTTCATGCATGGTACAGACAACTGTACATTTTTAGTCTATAGTCACTATTTCTCTGCTTTACGTTATTACTGTATGATTGGTACCATGGATGCGAAACAATGTCATGAAAAAATGTTTTGTTATATATATATAACTAGTGCTTAGCGCTAAATGTGTCAATGAGGTGATTTGTGGTACTTTTGAATTTTGATAAATGCATTGACATCACGCCAAGTAACAAGTGAAATATTTTTGCCGACCGGCTAATGCGCCGATCAGAACGAAGGTGTAACATCCCCCGGGCATTTGACTTTTTGGATTTTGCAATGATCAAATCTCCCGTATATTAAAGTAAAAAAAAACCCGGAAGTAGTGGTGCCGTCTGTGGTGGTCAAATACCCCATTGTAAATTTAATTTGAAGGTTAAAATTCAAAAAAACTTTCAACTTCCCCAGTCCATTCTGGTCGATCCGATCAATATTGAACATAATTCACATTTTGACTTCGAAAATCGTTTAATAAAAATTTCGTCATTTTCTTGAACACAAAATCAAAAAATGTGCTTTTGATTGACACGTTAAAGCCTGTGGTTTCTTATGTCAGCGGGAAGCAAGTATATCTATAATAGTCTTCATGTTAGGTAAACTAAAAGTTTTTTAGTTGTGGTCAAATCCATCCCCGTCCTCATTATAAGTGGAATCAAATGCCCCACCACTTTAAATTTTTCGACAACAAATGCCCGCCCCTAGGGAAAAACACGAATGGCAAATGCCCCTCTCGTACCCGGGAAGGGATGTTACACCTTCGTTTTGATCAGCGCATATCGTATACATGCCGATAAAATGGAGCCAGTCAGGGCTGCATAATATAGCGGACCACGGAACCATTGGTCCCAGACAATTTTTGGGGTTGGCAGAAAAAAATCGAGGGTGAAGCAATTTTCCCGGGCCCCAGGCTTTGGGGGGCCCCCAGGCAAAATATTTATGGTTTTCGGGTAAAGTACGTTCGTAGCCTGAAATAAAGTAGGAAAAGTCCCACGAAAGCAATGAACACATCCTAGTCCGGAAAATTTTTTTGTTGACCGGAGGGAGGTGATAGAGGGTCCCCAAATTGCAGAAATTTGTTTCGTTGGCCTTGCGGTCTCAGAAAATAAAATATTTTATGCAGCCCTGGAGCCAGTCCAAATCATTGTCCAGACTGAATAGCTTTTTCAGTCTATCAAGAGAATACAGTATCTCATAGAGAAGAAAAATACTCAACAGGAAATGTAGGCTCGGTTCCAGCCGTTCCCTCTTGTGGGCTCCCTCCAAGAGTTCCCTCCAAGAGAGCCCACAAGAGGGAACGGCTGGAACCGAGCCTACAGGAAATGCTGCTGAAAGCCTTTTACTTAGCAGGTTATTTTATTCATGTCCAGATCATTTACAATTACAAAGCGTTTTTCATTCATGAAATAAAATTGTTGTTTGAATATAATAGTTGTGGAAACAGTAATAAATTTACGTGGTGTTTCCACAAACAAAACTATTATATGTTTTATCGCCATGCAAACATGCAAAGAACTTATTGTTGTTTGAATGTTATATTTCTTTGTCACTCGGCTAATACAACAAAACAACAAGCGCTCGCTTGTTTTTCCCGCTTAAATCGCACTGTTTACCTCGACTTCGTCAATGTTTTATCTTCGGAAAAAAACAAAACTATTGAGCCGCTCTGTCGAGCGTCATCTTTTTCAATAATATTACTTATTCTTGTATAAATATTCAATATCTATTTCTATAATAAACAAATTATTTTTAACACCAATCATCTGTGTTGTTATAATCATATATGTTGTGTCTTGATCTCATGACCTCCGCCATATAGACTATAGTTGGACTATCGCATATTCGCATACATCAGATAGTGGCGTAACTGGCGGGTGTCCAGAGACGGGGGGGCACACGCCTGGGGGGGGGCAAAAATGACCATAACATTTTTGCTAGTACTTTGGGCAAGTTGCCCTGAGCCCCACTTATAGAGTGAGGGCCCGAAACTTCGCAACGGGTGGTCCCCAAAAGCAGGAACTGGTGAAATTTGGACTCCTTATTTTAGTAGCCATGGATGGGAAAGAATTTTTGTGACTTTTAATTTTTAATTTTGTGACTTTTAATGAATATGGTACTGACAGCAGATGGTTATATCATAGACTTTAGAAGAAGATAAATCATGTTATTAATATTAGCTCTTTTCATTATGTCTTCAGTCTTGTATTTGAGGGCAAATAAATAAAAAAGTGTCATCTTCACCACCATTAATAATTGCTGCCCTGCATGTAACACTGAAGTCCACTTATTAGCACCACTGTTCATTTGAGATTCTATGTATATTTTCTGTACTTTTTCGAGGGTTTTTCTGTGTAAGGCTAAGTGTACAGTGAAATAAAGATTGATGGTTGATATATGTTCTCAGGCATGAATCAGATGTATCCGGCCAGGATTTATTAGTCAAAATAATATTAAGGTAATTCCGCAGTAATTGTCACCGAACTCGTTAAGAAGATATGACAATCAGGATGGGCGATACCAGCTTTTTCATTCGATACGATATTTCCTCGATATTTGCCGGGTTTTTTCGATATCGATACCGATATCGATATTTTCCCAACTCGAACAACCATAACAACAAAAAGATTATTTTTAATCATTAACAACGGCAACAACGCTAACAATACAAACATTGAATAATATATGTCAGTGATTGCAACCAACATAACCAGAAACTCCCATCCTTCCCGTGGACCATTATAGCACCATAGAAAATGAACTATTTACGCCTATTTAGGCTTTTTGGTATCATTTTCATGATGATGCCGCTGACCAAAATGAAAAATATCGCGGGCGCAGAAATATCGAAACATCGATATTTCTTGCCAGTATCGATACTTTTCTTCAAAACCCTGGTATCGATAGTATCGAGTATTTGGTATCGATATCGGCCCATCCCTAATGATTGTCCATTTTTAAATGGGAGCGCAACTATGCTATTACAAACTAATAGCATGGCTTTTCGGGAGATTAGTGATTAAATGACCCCTTGCCCTCGGCAGGTTTGCGGAATTCCCTCGGGCTTCGCCCTCAGGGATTCCGCAAACCTGCCTCGGGTTACGGGGCCATTTAATCACTAATCTCCCTCAAGCCATGCTATTACTTATAATAAACTGATGAGAGCACTGGATAAGGGTCTATCATCTATGGTCTGTTATAATTTGCTTTCTATGCAAATAGTGAGCAAAAATTAAAGCAAAACTGTACAAGTTACATATATAGTACTATATCACTGGATATAGTACTATATATCTTTTTTATCGCTGGATAATTTTGCGAGTTTTCATCCAATTCAATCATATTTATGCTCAAAATCCTCGCGGTAAGTTTCTCTTTACCATAAAATTTGACCGAATAAGTTTCAAAACAATGCGACGGCAAAAAATGCAAAAATCTTGATTTTCGTAATAGAATCTATAGTCTTTTTGCCCTCTTGTACCGCCATCTTGGATTTATCATGTATAGGCCCCGCCTGCGCTAGGTATGCGTTAGCAATCTAGATCTCCTATATCTATGGGCGTACCGGGCAGTTGGCAGTCGGGCAATATTCGCTGAACAGTCGGGCAATTTTAGTTTATTAAAAAAAAAATTTGACAAATTCTGTCAATTTTGCGGTAACTTTTGGTATGTGGTATGTCCGGAAAAAATTTTTGTCCCCTAAAATGGTACACTGACCGAAATTTTTTTTGGCGACGGGGGGGGGAGGTCGCCATGAGCAAAGTACAAGTAGTCTTGAAAAAAAAATTCGTGCAGAGGTTAAGTGCATTAAAAAAAATTCCTGCAGACACATGAGACTGAAAAAAAAATTCGTGCCGCAAAAATTTTATACCCCCCCCCCCTCCCGGGATTTCTAATGGTCCGCCCCTAAGGCGTGTCTGTATTAATTTGTCACATTGTATTTTACATTTGATTGACAACACTATAAATAGTGATCGGCACAGACGTATTTTTATTGACTAAACCGGCAGGCTCTAATTCAATTCAAGAGCCTGTTCGCAGGCTAGGTTTTGGCACGTTGGAAGGGAGTTTTTGATGTATCGAACTGTAAAGTTGAATATATTTTTCGGAAGGTTCGATTGGCACGCACACCAAATTTTAGTGAGTTGGGAAAGTGAGAACTTCGTTATATTAGTGAAGAAAGAACCTTGACAGGTTAATTGAGTATGCGGTTTATCCTCTTGGCCAGAGCGAAAGTCCTTAAGCACTTGCTTAGTGGAGTTATAAACGTCATACTGAATATTTTTGCTGTTACTAGTTGCTTTTCAAAGTTCGTTAATTGCTTTGTTTGGGGATGTTTTAGGGCTTTACGGAGAACAGTTTGACAATGAATAAATTTGACAGTTGGGGGACAAATACTGAGGCCAAATTTGTTACGGGTTAGGAAAACAGTGCTTAGCGTTCCAGATATAGGTATATCAAGCCATTTACGGATATAAATGTTGACTTTGGAATCAATGTTTTCGGTGACCCACGTTTTCGATACGCAAATAAAATACGCTTATACTTCAAACACAGAAGTTCGATATAACAATGCTTTATTCTTCTAACTCACAATACACAGCTGATGAAGCCTAAGTACTAATAAAAAATTACACGTCATAGCTAGGTAACCTAGCCGTATATACTCTTCAGTTCTTCATCAGCTCGCATTGCACGGTTGTGTTTTTTGGCGCTGTTGAAATTTTTAAATAATTTTTACTTTCCGACGAGATTTTATTCAGTCTTCATGGCTTCTGTGGCCGAAGACCAGCCACCCATTGAGGACGGGGAATTGTTAGACCCGATAAATCTAACTCCGCGGGTATCGCGAGGAAATCATCCGGTGTCAGAAGCACCGAGGAAAAATTCCTCTGACAACTGCACGGCAGTTCAGAGCAAAAAGAGGAAACGCGAAGGGCGCTCCTCAAAGTTGGCCTCAAAAAAATCAAAGGCCTCAAAAAAACGCCGCTATAAGTCACGAACATACGATTCTTCGAGCAGCTCATCTAGCTCGTCTTCGAGCTCTGCTTCAAGCAGTGAATCAAGCACTTCGGGGGACGAAGAGTCGAGCATGCTGGAACCTAACAACTCGGAGATGTCGGTTGCCGGGCCGATCATTGAGTTTGCAGCAGCAGCTGTGTTCCAGGGTCTATCAAAAACTGCCAGAAAAGCGATGGCAGGAGAAACCCCAGTGCCTTTCCACCCGGACTTGCGCCCAAAAAAGGTTGACACTTTCGTCAAAAAATTTTTGAAGCGAAAAGGCGCGAACTTTAATACCGCCATGGATCGCCGCCAGTTGAACATGGCTGGCCGAATGCTTGACCCAATTGGCCCTCTTTCCCAGCTTTGGCAAACTGCCATTTTAGCTTGAGGAGAAGGCCACAGGCATAGATCCTTCTCTCGTAATCGAAGCTTGTCGCCGGGCAATGTCCTTGATTGGCAACGCATCGCATTGTGCTCTAGTAGATCGAAGAAAGGGCCTATTGGCCAAAGTTTCGCCAGATTGCTTGGACTTAGTCGATGATCCAGAGCTATTCGGCCCCGGTTCCTCCGAACTGTTCGGGAAAAAGTTTAAAAAAGCCATTCTTAAGGATTTAAAACTGTCGAAAGAGATGGACAGTTTGATGAGTGGCGGTCACCATGGCAACGGCAAAAACAACTATAAACCGTTCAAGCCTTTTCGTCAGCAGCCCGGGAAAGGCCCGGGCTACAATCCCCGGTCATGGGACCAAAGCACGGGTTTCAACTCCCGATCGTGGAATCAACCGAGCCAGTGCCGCGGGGGATTTTCTCGCAGAGGGAAATCCAACTTCCCAAGTCGGGGGCAACAACACTAACAGGTACGGTTCCAAATTGCATTTTAAAACGAGTAGTACGAAAACAATCAGGTCCGAAATCGGCTCCACCTGTTCAATCGTTAATTTCAAGTCGTTTAAAGATAGATTTTCAGGCGGTAATCACGCCAGGGGCTTTGGCGGGACGTCTAAGATTTTTTCTGCCCAATTGGCAACAAATTACACTCGATCCTGTCCTCTTAGACACGGTTCGGGGTTACAAGCTCGAGTTGTCCTCGCCCCCGATTCAAAACAGAATCAGGGCCCCTCCTCGTTTTTCACACACAGAATCCGAGAAAATCGACATCGAAATTACCGCTCTCCTGGACAAAGGGGCATTGAACAAGGTCGAGCCGGTTTCCGGCCAGTTTCTAAGCAATATTTTCTTGGTTCCCAAGCGGGACGGGAAATCGCGACCGGTGATCAACCTAAAAGATTTGAACGCTCACATCCAATACGATCATTTCAAAATGGAAGGCACCCACCTTCTGCGCGATCTGCTTCAGCCTCAAGACTGGCTGGGGAAGATCGATCTAAAGGATGCTTACTTCGTGATTCCAATCTGGAAAGAACACAGGAAGTATCTTCGCTTTGTTTGGAAGAGTACACTCCTAGAGTTTGCATGCCTTCCGTTTGGGCTGTCGGCTGCCCCACGACTGTTCACAAAGGTGATGAAGCCAGTCGTTGCTCTTCTTCGCAGAGCCGGGATACGTCTGATAATATACCTGGACGATCTTTTGTTCATGAATCAATCCAAGGAAGGCCTATAACTAGATATGGCTACGGCACAGTACCTCTTAGAAAATTTAGGTTTTGTGATAAATTTAGAGAAGTCGTGTTTCACGCCAACTCAGACATTAGAGTTTCTAGGGTTTCTAGTAAACACTCGGGATATGACTCTGCACCTGCCCGATTACAAGGTGGAGGCGATAAAAGCCGACTGCAACGACCTGCTAGCACGTCACGAGGTGTCAGTCAGAGAACTATCTCAGCTAATTGGGAGGCTGACCGCCTCCATACAGGCCATTTTCCCTGCCCCCTTGTATTACCGTCATCTCCAACATCTGAAACACCAAGCCCTAGCCCAACGCAAGGGTTACGACGCAACTATAGCCCTATCAAGAGAAGCGGAGGAGGAGCTACACTGGTGGCTAGCCCACCTGAACGCTTGGAACGGACGGGCAATTCTACACCCTTCTCCCGACCTAATAATCGAAACGGACGCGTCAATGAGGGGTTGGGGTGCGGTGTGTCAAGGGGTAAGAACCGGGGGACTGTGGTCTCAGATGGAGCAGAAGCTTCACATAAACTGTTTGGAGCTTCTAGCGGGCTCCTTTGCCGTGAAGAGTTTCACCAAGGATCGATTATGTGTCCACGTGAGGCTTCGCATGGACAACACTTCGGCAGTAGCTTATGTGAACCGTCTAGGGGGGACACACTCCCTTGTCCTAGCCAATTTGGCCCTGGCCCTGTGGGAATGGGCCCTGAACCGCAATATTTTCCTGAGTGCCGAACATCTTTCCGGCCGTCTGAATACCACGGCAGATTGGCAATCTCGACACTTCGACGACTCGAGCAATTGGCAGCTATGCCCAGAGGTGTTTCGGGCTCTGATGCAGATTCGCGGGCCTTGTGCCAACGATCTGTTTGCGGACAGACTGAATACTCAATTGCCCCAGTTCTTCAGTTGGAAGCCAGATCCAATGGCAATAGCCGCGGATGCCCTTCAACAGGATTGGTCGAAGGAAAAAAATTATGCATTTCCCCCATTTTGTCTCATAATGCGATCACTAGCAAAGTTGAGGGAACAGGGGGCCGAGCTGATATTAGTTGCCCCATTGTGGCCCACACAAGCTTGGTACCCCAGCTTGTTGGACCTGTCAGTGTCCCTACCGGTTCTTCTGCCAATGAGCCAGAATCTCTTGCTGGGCCCCCGGGGGGAGATACACCCTCTACTTGCGAATCAGACTCTTCAGCTAGCCGCTTGGCATGTATCCAGCGATCCTTGGACTCGGAAGGCATTCGTGCAGAGGCTTCCAAGCTCATCTTGGCAGCTTGGCGGCCTGGCACAAATGCAGTTTATAACTCCGCCTGGAAAAAATGGCATAGCTGGTGTCTCAGGCGGGAAACTGATCCATTTCGCCCCTCTTTGGCCGATTTAACTGGCTTTCTTGCCCATTCGTTCGATGAGGGTTTGGAATACAGAACAATAAATACATATCGCTCCGCTTTGTCGGGCGTCCTTCCGCCAATTGACGGTTTTCCTGTGGGACAACACCCACTCGTTATTCGCTTGCTCAAGGGTGTTCTTAACCTGCGTCCAGCTTTGCCGCGCTATCAGCGGACTTGGAGCGTGGACGTTGTCTTGATCTATTTGCGCTCACTCCCTCGGAACGAGGATTTATCGTTGAAATTGCTTACGCAAAAGTTGGCTATTTTGCTTGCCTTAACCGCCCCCCGGCGTTCTTCTGAGCTTAAACTTCTCGACCTGCGCTTTATGCGCATCTTGCCTGAAGGTGTCGAGTTCCAATTACCCGGGCTGACTAAAACATCTTCGGTTGTGACGTCAGTGTTCTTTGCCAAGTATGGGGAATGTGAAAACCTCTGTGTGCTCCGCTGCTTACAGTGTTATATTGCGCGCACTAGCTTATTTAGACCAGTCATGTGCCCTAGAACTCCTAACCAGCTCCTGATTAGTTTCCATAGGCCCCATCGCCCTGTTAAATTGTGTTCTATTGCCCGTTGGATTCGGTCCATCCTAGGAAGCGCGGGAATAGATACCGCAGTATTTAAAGGCCATTCAACTCGGTCGGCGTCGACATCTAAAGCAAGGGCAGGAGGGGTACCTCTGGAGGAAGTAATCAAGATGGCTGACTGGTCGGGGACTTCTACCTTCACTCGCTTTTACTATCGTCCAGCTTTCGATGGCGCTTATGCTAGGACGGTCTTGTCTCTTCCAACATAATAGATTTCGGACGAGGGTTGTTGTGGTAATATGGTTTTGCCTTTTAGTTTATAGCTTTAAACAAGCATTGTTATATCGAACTTCTGTGTTTGAAGTATAATTGAAGATTTTGCAAGGGCGCGAAGCGCCCGCAGTAAAGTCGAGATTATATGAGAACACAGAAGTGAGATATAACAATCCCACCCACCCTACCCATGGGATTACGCGTATATGTTCTTTCTTTAGATTAGTTGGTACCACCGTTTGGCGACTGTTGTCTACCACTGTTTGGACGGGGGTTGATCAAGATGACTTCATATATGGTTATTGTTGGGACGAACGTGATAGATTATCTTTGATAATCCTTTGTTAAATATGGTTATATATATTTATATATATGTTTTGTCAGTACTTGCTGATTTCGAACTGAAGAGTATATACGGCTAGGTTACCTAGCTATGACGTGTAATTTTTTATTAGTACTTAGGCTTCATCAGCTGTGTATTGTGAGTTAGAAGAATAAAGCATTGTTATATCTCACTTCTGTGTTCTCATATAATCTCGACTTTACTGCGGGCGCTTCGCGCCCTTGCAAAATCTTCAATTTATGATAATAATAATAATTGCTGCCGAGCGTAGCGAGGCAGCACACTATTCTTGACACGCGGTGGTTTCCCCAGAGTCCACTCGACCCAGTCTTTCGCGCGAGTTATGTATTGTCGAGATCGAGATCTTGTGTCTGTCTGTAAAGATGTTTGTCACAATCCGGGGGGAATAATTAAGCTTCAGGGACGTTTGTTAAAAGAGGGGAGCGGTCAGAAACAAGATTTTGTATTGCGCACGCATCTCCATGTGCTTCAAGAATCGAAAGATTTTTACAAAAGCGTTTCATACGGATGCAAGAAATCGAAAATATTGGGAAAAATTCAGGTAAGTATGGCTCTATTTCTTTCTTCTTATATACATCAAGGCGATGACATTTTTAGTGTTCAATCTAGAGGCAGACAATGTGCTTTCATGAGTTTATCGGCAATTTTAACTGCCCAAAATATACCACTGATCGATTGGTCAAAAACAACATTCAGTAATGTCTTATTACAAGGAGACAAAATGTACTTGCAAGCTCTGAACATTGAACTATAAATAAACTGGAAGGCTAACTGCTATGATGAAGGCCTATGATTTGATGAAGCCAAAATAGTTTTTCTGAGTTATGAGCAGAAATACTTGACCCCAAACGTTCGGCTATATATCAAAATGAAGCTATTGAAAATTGCTATTCGGTGTGGAAATTTCAAGACTTCAGCGAAAAGAAAAATATTTAAAAAATACAAAAACAACTGCAAAATGGCAAATTATCGGTAATTATGTTTGTAGTTTTTCAATATTTCCCTTTTAGCTAAAGTCTTGAAATTTCTACACCAAATAGCGTTTTTCAAGAGCTTCAATTTGATATATAGCCCAACGTTCAGTGTTCAGTATTTCTGCTCATAACTCAGAAAAACTAAAATGCACTGGCTTCAATTTCCCCCCCTGAGTTAGCCTTCCAGTTTATTTATAGTTCAATGGCTCTGAATGATGGCTTTGTTGTCT